ACAGACACACAAGAAGCCTAACATGTGTTTCTAGACCATACAGATGAGTGAGAGAACAGAGCTGAGTTTGCGGACTGAATACTGCAGAATCTCGTTTGTGACAGCTACTCGGCTGAGAAATAGCTACAGACTTGGGTTGACTCATTGATTTCATTTAAAAGTTTTGGTAGCTAGATGTGTGGATAAATCGTTCTTCAGTAGCTTTACCCCCGAGATGCAGGCATCATGTCCATCGATGCCCTATGTGTATATAATGTTTGCTCTACAGGACTGGCTCATATCACAATTCACATGAACTCTGTGCTCTCATACGAATGTAAGTGACGTCTGTGCTCCTGGTTACATGTGTGTACAACACATCAGATCTTTTGCTTTACACACATGATATTATTTGTGATTAATTCTTGAACAAGTGTGACTAATGTTTTCAATTGACTGGTTTTTGATCAGATCATCAGCTTTGCAGCTAACATCAACCGTGTGTAGTACTTGTAGAAATTCTTTGAATTTTATGAGTCTCTAACCGTGTGTTTTTATCTTAATGTGCATTTACTCAGGAGGAGAAATACCCACTTCGTGCGTTGTGTTTGGTTCAGTTTATTTGTGCACTCTGATACTCTTGGATTTATCAATGTGTTTTGTTTCGGGTTTCTCATATTCTCGACTTTATAAGAGACTAACTGATAGATTGATATAGAGTGTTGTCCTGCATTTTGAGCTTTGTTGGAACAGGTTGAGTAGGTTGTCACATTCATATAAAAAGGGGGAGAATGTAAGCTCAAGGTTTGTGAGCTTGTTCCGGTTAAGATGAGAGTGTGTTACACAGTGCGATGATTGTGTAACACAGTGCAATAAGTTTGGTACGTGTAATGACGTGGCGTAAACTTATGGAAATAGAAGATATTGCTTGGGTGCGAAGCAAAGAAGATCTTCTGGTTGGCGATATTTTAGGAANTTAGGTTAGGCGTTAAGAGAGAAAAAGCTAGAGCAAGAGAGTTGTTCTTGTCGGCTACAGAGATCGAGAAAACAGGGGTTTGGCTTGGGTTTCTGTAACTTAGAGATTAGGAACTGGTCCGTCGCTAGTCGTGTGTGACTGAGCTTAAATCGGATTAAACAGATCTAGGAAGATTGTTTAAAAGGTTTCTAATATACAAAAAGTGTTCTCGAATAACTTGTGTACGGTTCTTATTTGCGTGTCTCTGAACTTTCACCTACTGCCGGCTGCCGAATTTAATTCTCAAGTTTGTTTAAACAACCAGTAGGTTTCAGAAGCCAATAATCTGAAGTTAATAAAAATATCTCTTCGTAGGTAACATTTGGTACTTGGGTGATGAACATTAAAGATGGTAAGTAATAGTTCTTTTCTATTTCTGATGACTTATATCAAAATAGAATACGTTTAGATAGAAATATTTTGATCTACATTCTATAAGTTATATTAACTGCCAAAAAAAAGAAGACTTGCAGCTAATTAAGTGCAGTGTAAAATCAAAATCAAAATTGACTCCACAATAAATCAACTCTACTATTATAAATAAAAATATATTTTGCGGGTACACAGATCCAGCTCTAGAATTTTTTTCTGGTATATACTTTGCATATAAATTTCAAATATATATATCTTACACGATTTTATTAATTTTAAATTATGATGTGAATCATACGATTATAATATATATTTTCCCTTAATCATATTAAAAATATCATTAAATAATTTCAGCAATTACCAATATATAGGATCTATTATACCAAAAATATTGCTATATAATCCTTATTTAAAATAATATATTTACTATTTAAAAATGATATTTTTATATTCTGATCATAAATGTTGAATATACAAATTATATTTATCACGTATAGAGGTATATTTCAATTCAAAATTTATATTTTTTTGGGTTTCTAATATTGTTATTCGAACCAAACCAAAAACCAAAATAACTAAACCCAAACGAACCCAAATTCATAAATAACCAAACGATTTCTATATTTTTTAAACTAAAAACCAAAAGTCAAAACCGATCAGAACCAAATCGAAAACCAAAAAATGCAATCGGGAAGCAAACTGAAAACCGCAAACCAAAAATCTATGCATAAATATATTAGTGAACAAACATACAAATCAATAAATTTTATAACAAAAAGTAATTCCGCGCTTTCAAAGCACGGGTTAATATCCTAGAATGATCTTGAATTAGCCTTGAGCTGAAGTTTTTTTCGTCTTTTATCTTCCGTTAAAACAACCTGTATCAAGTATAACAATCTGTTTTTTTTCGGAGACTAAATAGGACTTCCCAAATATAACAATCTGTTCAGAATATTGGTAAACTAATGTTATAAGATAACAGTGAAGTAAATGTATCCACATGAAAGCTCTCTAAGGTATTGTCATCTCAGTTATAGCACTATATAATGAAGTGGATGAGGGGCATAGTAAGCATACTCTGTGTCTCTTCTTCGTTTCTTCGTTATCACAAGCAAAACGACTTCTCCGATGGAGATTACAACCAGCACTCATATTGAATCTCACCAATCTTATCTTACAAAACTCAAATGCTGAATCTTATCAACAAAATACTAAGATCTGAGGGATGTACACAATTTGCCTATAGATCATGACTTTGAAGAGATTCTGAAACTTTGGCGGAAGAGAGAGAAGGAGAGTGAAAGAGATAAAGTTTCCTATTAGAAATAATTATTTCTGGCCACATGATTTATCTAGTGAAAATTAGTTAGATATTAGTTAATTAGTAATGAATAAAATACTAGCAGAAGGTAACGTCGGTTTTTCTACATGTTAAAAGATGAAAAAATGTCTTGAAAAATGAGAAAAAGTGTTCAAGTAGCTAGAACTGATCTATGATATAATATAGAAGATAAAAAGTGATCTTGTATATAATTCTTTCCAGATCGTATAGCCCGGAGATCTCATGAAGTATGTGAACAAGAGGTAAACCAAAAAAATTGTAACTTTTAAGTTGTTTAATAAGCTACGATTGATCTAATTTTTTTGGGTTAGGTAGCAAAAAATTCAGCAGCAACCCTTGATGAAGAGCTGGTGGAAGTTCAATATTAATGCTCTCCTTGTCCTGAATATTTTGATGGATATGGAGGGTCCAATGCGCACTTTTGACCTAATGTATGGAGGCATGGGTTTGTACGATGTATCCGTGAACAGTTTTTGTCGACTCAAGAGCTCAAGGGGTGATGGAAATAGTGGAACTCAGACATTCTGATGCTGAACAAACACTATCATACAATAACCATAATCATCATGTTTCACATTTCAATAAAAAGGTTCGTGGACAAATTACAGATATGATTTACTGATTTTACCAAGTATGATTAGTTGTTTACAAAATTACAATGTATGTGTATATATAAAACAAAACAAATATGAAAAAACAAACACGACGTCGTTTAGTTGTTGATTAAAAAAGTCAAAGAGGTTTTATTTTTCTTTTGAACAACAAAAAAAAACCAGAGATTATCTTCTTCTCTGTTTGAGCCGGTGACGTGGCTTTCGGATCGGCGCCGTGGTCGTAGCAGTAATGGAATCCATGGAAGCTTCTCCCTCTCCAGCTTTTCAATCTCCTTCTCGTTCCAGGTTTAGTTTTATCTCTTCCACTTTGTTTATTTGAGGTTTATTTATGAATTCTCAAATATCCTTTTTTTTTTGTCATCTTCTTATTAATTTGGCAGTCAACCACAATTGCATTTCTACCTCGCAGTGGATCGTCCCCAATTCAAAATGGTATTTTCTCAAAAATTATGCATTTATTAATTAAAGAGAACAAAATTGAGATTCTGAAAATGGACGACGAACAGGAGACGGTGGTGGAGTTATTAGGAGTATTGGGTCGTCGTCCATGGCTTCCAATCGTAGTCTGTTGCAGCTCTCGCGATGAACTCGACGCTGTCTGCTCCTCTTTATCCACTCTTCCTTGCATTTCCTTTGCTGCTTTGGTACATCTCATTTCAACTTCTTGATTGATTTTCAGATTATGTATCCGTGGATAATCTTGATACTTAAAAGTAATCTTGTTGTTTAGTCACTTGCTTGCTTCATCGTGATCATTGTTTTTTTTATTCAACATTAGATTGTGTTCACATTCAACCTCTACTGTATATACAAAGCTAATTTCTCATTAGGTTGTTTCTTCTCATTTTTGATATTGGATTCTTTAGTGTTCTGTTCCTGATTTGAGAAGACTCTTGTTGTTTAATCACTTACTTGCTTCATCATCAGCCTAGCCATCGATTCAGAATTACATTGTGTTTGAATTATATCTAATGGTGCTTGACGTGATAACAAAATGGTCTTCTTGTTAACTCACTTGCTTGTTCAGTTTTTTTTTTTTTTTTTAACATTAGATTCTGTTACACTGTCCTTCCTTCCTCTAGATTTTATGTTCGCACTAAGTTTCTACTGTGTGTGTGCGCAGTACAGTGATCTGGGAGAGAGAGAACGAGCTATGGTCTTAGAGAAATTCCGACAAGCAACAGTTAACTCTGAAGTAATAGAAGAATGTTTAGAAGAGAGTGAAACTGGAGAAGAAGAAGATGAAAAGAAATCACATTTGGTGGTTGTGACTGATGTTTGTCTTCCGATGCTTTCATCTGGAGAGTCTTCTCTTTCCTCACGAGTCCTCATCAACTACGAGCTTCCTACTAAGAAGGATACGTATACACGGCGTTTAGCATCTTGCTTAGCTTCAGGTTCTTTTCTCTCTCGACAACAAACTCCTTTCTTCATCATCATCAAAGCCTATTTTTAACATTTGGAACTTTCTCCTTTTTAAGGTGGGATTGTCGTAAACATGGTTGTCGGAGGTGAAGTAACCACTCTCAAAAGCCTTGAAGAGAGTAGTGGCATTATCATCGCAGAGATGCCTATCAATGTATTCTTATTTTATCGATTAACTTTCTGCTTTGTTTTTAAACTTTGATGATTGGCTTAGAATGTGCTTTCTTTTTGCAGATTTCTGAGATCTTATAAGAACTCATGTCTCATACGATCTGTAGGATACCATCTCGGCTGGTATTGATGGCTCTTAAGCTTCAAATTATATGTCTCATGACCACCTCTGTAGCAATCAATAGTTTGTCTTAAGCTATAAGCTGTCTCTCTGCTTAGCTATTGAGTTGATCACTGTTGTCTACATGTCGCTTTGACTGTTTTATTTATCTTGGAATTTTTTTTTTCTTTTAAAACATTTTGATAAAGGCATGAAAAGCAACAGAGCAGTAGTGAACATGTGATTGTGATTGTGATTGTAGTTGAATCAGATGATGATTATTAATGTAACTATCAAATTTATTATCTTGTCTGATTTGTTTTATACGTGTTGGTTTCTGTAAAGGGATTGCTATTTACATATGACCTATATAGCTTTTATTGCATGCGCATTAACTCTACCCAGACAAGTTACAATTATAAACATTTTCTAGAAATTCTATAAGAATTTCAGTTTCTTAAAAATAATCAAAGTTGATGTAGTTTTATAAGAGCTTGGTCTTCATATACATCCATTTCAAGAATTTTATGTTTCTTTGGCATTTAAATTCCTCATGTTTTGGTGTCAAATCTAACTCATACGAAAAAGTTGAGTGACACTATTTTAGATTAATGTTGAATTATTGAAAAAAAAAATGTTCAAAATATTTCAGATAAAATACATGTTTTGCAACATTTATATGTAATTGCTGCCGTTCCAATCTTTTCTAGATCATTTAGTAGTATGACTATCGCATTTGGATTTTGCGACGATTTTTCTACTCTTTGAAGGTCAAAACTCATAATGAAACAACTATGTCATATAGTTTAGTTTATATACATATAAATTATAATCAATTATATTTGTATTACAATAATATAGGAACTAGCACATATAGAAGAACATTCTTTAGTTTTGAACTTTTGACTTTGACAATGAGTTTGTCAAATTACGAATTTACGATAGCCTTATATACCCTCCAAAATTAATTAATCATTTTGATTAATATTACATAGTGTTTCAGTTATTAGACGACCGTAACTTGTTAAAAGGTAAACAACATTTCTATAGCATGTGGTGACATCTATATAGAAGTAACAATGATATTGCTCATTATCAAAACATGAAACTTTTACATATAGTGTTTGATGTCAAAATTTACAAGCTTACAGAAGACAAAATGATGTTTTGACAGAGTATGAATCCTCTCATTAATAATAAAAACTCATTTCTTTTAAACAAACACACTTATCTTTATATGAAATCCCAAAAGTTAAGGAAACATAATAAAATATGTTAAACTATAGTATATATTTTAAAAATAAGCAAATGGATGTCAAAATCAGTATAGTTTGCTCAGCACGACATCTTAGTAATACCTGCAACCATGTATTGCCAAGATCCAATGGCGTATTAACACACGTATGACTACCTTTTTGTCCAACATTTCTCCTATCACCTAGTTAATTTACCCCTATATTTTCACGTCATATATCCTAATAAAATTATTCAAACTTTCAGTGAACATTTATTTCTCTAAATGGGTTCTTGGGTTTGAGTCTTCTTCTTGTCTTCACCCTCTTTTTGTATTTTTCTCTCATTCCCAGACTTGTACAACACGTCTTTCTCTCTCTGATCTTTTCCAGAGCTATAAATTTTGTAAAAATTGACCCTAAGAATTTCTGAGATTTTATTTCCATGAGACTATATGGCTGTCGTCACTAACCTCGGAAGCTATCTGAAGATTTCTTATGTCATATTTGCCTTTTGTTCTGCTTTCTTTCTCGGTGCTCTCAAAGGTTTCAATCTTTCTTTGTTCTGTCTTGCTCTGCTTCCATGATTGATCTTCTTGATAATGGATTCTCTTCAAGAATCGTTCTTCTTAAACAAAGTTTTGAAGTTTTCTTTCATATATATGCAGGTTTGGTCGTTGGTCCAATAGCTGGTTTAACATTAATAGCAGGAAATGTTGGAGTGATTCTTGGTTTGTTCCCTGCACATGTTACTTGGACAGTTTATGCTGTTGCAAAGTATAAAAACACATTCAACTCTGTTCCTCAAATTCTCAAAAAAGAATAATTCCAATTACATATACTCATCTTGTCTTTTTTTTTCTTTCTAAAATGCAGGACAAACAGATTTGATATTCCTCTGAAACTAGCCATCTTGGTAGCACTTCCTGCACTGTTTGGTATATGGTTAGGTCTAAGTATAGCAGTTAGTGTCCTTGTTGGTGTTGGCTATGGATTTTTCACTCCATGGATCTCTGCCTTTGAAGCATTCAGACAGGACACTGAACCCAACAAGTTCTTCCACTGTCTTGTGGTACTTTAAAATAACTTCCCCCACATTTTGTTTCTAAGAGATTCATATTACCTGACTCTGTTTATTATGTACTAATAGGATGGAACTTGGGGAACAATCAAAGGAAGTTGTACTGTGGTTACCGATTTCGCAGATCTTTGTTACCATTCTTATCCACTTTACCTAAAGGAACTGCGTGAATCACCTGCCTTAGATGAGCTTCAAACTCTTAGGTAAAGGGGCTCAAGATTATAACATATAGTTTTTGCTTACTTCTAGTGTATTGAAGTGTGGTCCCTTCTTACAGGTTGATTCATGTTCCTGGATGCATCATTGTAGGGATTATAGGATTAGTAATCGATATACCTCTTTTCACTGCAATAGCTGTTGTTAAAAGCCCTTACCTTCTGTTCAAAGGCTGGTACAGACTATCTCAAGATGCCATTAACAGAGAAGGACCATTCCTTGAGATAGCTTGCATCCCTGTTGCTGGTTTGACAATACTATTATGGCCTATTATTGTCATTGGATTTGTCTTGACGACCATCTTCTCCAGCATTTTTGTAGGGCTGTATGGAGCCGTAGTTGTATTTCAGGAAAGGTCATTTAGAAGAGGAGTGTCTTATGTGATTGCAGTAGTTGGGGAGTTTGATGAGTACACCAATGATTGGCTTTACCTTAGAGAAGGAACTATCTTCCCAAAGTATGTCTCTTTTCAACTCTTTATTACATTCATTTTCTCTTGCCTTCATACTTCTAAGACCAAGAAACTGTACTACATACATAGGCCAAGATATAGAATGACAAAAGGATCCTTTTCAAGTGAAGTATCTGTGATTGTTCACCCTTCAGCTGTAAGCAGAGTCAATAGTTCCGGTTCTGTAGAACCTCCAGCTATGCTAGTACCAAGTCTGGTTCGGTCTGTATCGGTTAGAGAAGCAATACAAGAAGTGAGGATGGTTCAGGTATATGTCAATCTTTATTATTGAACTTTGTACATTACGTTTTTTTGTATTCATTACATGAAGAACATTTTCAACAGATTTGGGAGCATATGATGGGATGGTTTGAGATGGAAGGCAAAGAACTATTAGACCAAGGAGTGATAACACCAGCTGATCTATATGAGTCTTTAAAAGGAAGACATGGAACCGAATCATCGATTATCAATGTTGGCCTTCCTTCTTATGCTTTGCTTCACACATTGCTTAGATCTATTAAAGCAGGTGCTCATGGTGTGCTTTTGCTTGATGGCTCTGAAGTAACACATTTGAATAGACCGCAGGACAAGTTCTTGGACTGGTTCTTTAACCCAATTATGGTGTTGAAAGATCAGATTAAAGTGATTAAACTTGGAGAAAGTGAAGTTAGATACTTGGAGAAAGTTGTTCTCTTTGGAAACCATGAACAAAGGATGGAAGCTTGGGACAATCTTGGTAACCCACTTCAAGAAAATGTTAGAGCTGCTCAAATTCAAGGAATCAGTAGAAGGTAAAGATTCTTACATGGAAAAAATGAGTCCTTATGGTTTCCTTTGATTCTGTTCTGAAACTTGGATGTTACTCCTTTGTGTTGTAGAATGATGGGAATGGTACGGAGCGTATCTAAGCTTCCTACGTATAGGAGAAGGTTCAGGCAAGTGGTTAAGGCTCTAATAACGTATTGGTTTGAGAAACAAGGCTTGAATCGAACCGGTTCCATGAGTTCCGGAGATTTCATTGAAGAGGTCTAACCTAAGAGGAGCAACAATTGTTTGTCTTTAAAAATAAATAATATAAACTAGGTGTTGACCTGCGCCCTGCGCGGGGTAAGATTATTTTGACTTTGATCGAACAATAATTTGGTATATTAATTTGTTTAACTAAAAATAGGTAGTGGATGTGAATTAGTAATAAAAATCATATAGTCATATAATGAGATATTAGTATAGCTGCGAAACGAAGCATTGATTCATAGCTATTTGTTTTCACTTTTTGTCTTATATATCTATTTGTCTTATAGATACATGATGATACAAAAAAATTAAGAAATCGTCTACTAAAAAAAGTAGTAAATAAATTAAAATAATTAATATCATAATAAAACATAGAGAAACAAAACATGATATAATGAGAAAAAAGTAGATTAAAATAAAATAAGAAATAGAAAATTAAACATGATATAATAATTTAAATTGTCTTCAAAACTCTTGGTTTGCAATCCTACATACAAAAATAACAATTAGTTAGTTTACGAAACAACACACACTCTTTTAATATTTTAAACTCATCGAAATGATATACTTCTTCCTCAATGCATACGTCAAAAAGAGAAATAGAATAAAACTCGATCATTTCTAAGAAAATTAACTTACTCTAGCATCGAGGAAGACCATTTCGATAGTCTCCCCAGCAGCTGCAGAATACTCTTTCCAAAGGCGGACAATTTTCACTTGAACCTTCCATTGGTTCTTGAAAGGCTTCAACTCAGATATAAGGTTCATGGCGGCCATAGAAGATGTGTAGGTTTATTCTTGCTTGTCTGAATATCGAATGGACCTNAGTTGCTAAAATTATGTGACTGAAATATATTCATTCAATATTAGAAATATCTATGCAGATTCGGTCATTAATTTTAGTTGACATTCAATATTCGAATACAATAACATCAATGGTTAGTGCATATAAGGGAAACTGAAATACGCATGCAGATTCGGTCATTAATGTTAATTGAAGTTGAAGATAATAGTATTTTGTACATTGAATATTGTCGAAATATTTTATAAAGTTTGATTTTATAAAATATAAAATATTATATTTAAAATTTAAATATATGCCTTATTATGAAATAGAATATTAATTCAGAATATTATATATAGCTCATTGACATTCAAATGGAAAGAAACCATTAAACCGTTTACCTAATAAAAACATTCCGAGATTTAGTTGCTAAAATTGTGTGACTGAAATAGAATATATGCCTAATTATGAAACATAATATTAATTCAGAATATTAAATATTATATATAGCTGATTGACAT